TCTCCTAGGGCACAGTTAGATGCTGTTTGGTTTTGTAATCGTTGGTTTAAGTTCTTTGGTTTAGCCCCAACGAGCCTAATGCTTGCAAAGATAAACACTTTGAAACTCAAACTTTACCTCCATATACAATGTTAGATTGATTATAGATTTATAGTGCATGAAAATAGAGTGTAAATCACATAATTGAAGACTAGTCTTTGGAATTGTTATTCCCCTTTACATTTTTGAGAAAGAGCTGCCTTGAATCTATGCACATTCTTCTTGTGATCCTGCATTCTCTACTTCAATTGTTACTTTACTGGTTTGAAATTTGTGACGTTTTTATGGCTGCTATGTATGAACTCATTAACTATTAATCTTTTTAGTGATATGTACCTATATTTAGTTTGATGTTAGCTCAATTCCCTTCCCCTAATTGGTTTGTTTTAATATATTTTCATGGTTTGTGATGGCAGGAAGATCTGCACCACGCCCTGCTCCTCGTCCTGCACGAGCACCAGCTCCAGCTACAGGTATTGTTCTTTTACATCCTTAAAGCTTTTTAAGGATTCTCGTGAATTTATATAGCCTTCGATATGATTTTGTTCACTGCTTGTTTGTTAAAATTTGGTAGGATTTGCACTTCCTTGGGATATTAAAGTGTTTACTGTTTTATTGTTACAGTTAACCATGCTCCTCCTCCAGCTCCTGCACAAAACAGCCGTGGAGGATCCATGCTTGGGAACATTGGTTCGACCATAGCTGAAGGTTACTGGACACGCTATGATCTGTTCTGTTCTGAATCGTATGTTTTGCTGCATAAATTTGTGCATAGGCATAACTGGTGTTTTTGGTCTCGTTTACAGGCATGGCCTTTGGAACTGGAAGCGCCATTGCACACAGGGCTGTGGATTCGATCATGGGCCCTCGTGTTATTCAGCACGAAACTGTTGCTGCTCCCGCTCCTGCTGCAGCACCCTCGATGAACACCTTTGGGAACTCAGACGCTTGCAGCGTTCAATCCAAGGCTTTCCAAGATGTAAGTATTTCTTTTAGTTTCTCGTGTAAAAAACTTAAAATCTGCCATTCTTTTCAGTGTTGTAATGATCATGATTCTCACTACTCTGCCATTGCCCATTGGTTCCATTGCAGTGCTTGAATAGCTCTGGAAACGATATCGGGAAGTGCCAGTTCTACATGGACATGCTATCCGAGTGCAAACGAAGCACTATGCTCAACGCTTAAGCCTGTTGCCTGCCCACCCGCCCTAAGCTTTGCTTACGTTTCGATTATTATTGAACTATTCTTTGAAACCTGTATGCAATGAATGACAAGTTGGCATTTTCCCCAACTTTGCATTCCAATAAGTTTATTATGAACCAGAGGGATATATAATATATATGTAGACATTCTTTGCATTTTGAACACCAAGTGAATGCATATATGAGATACTGAGTACCATTTTTTCCCTTCTGATTCTGCATTTTATTATAGCCTAATTTTTAATTAGTTGAATACTTGGTTGCACTCATTGCCCCTAAAGCAGGGAATTAATATAGCGGATTCCTATTTACACATGAATCTAAGATTCTTAGGACTTTCAGAAATATTCCATCCTCATCATCATCATCATCATCACAATCTGCCCTTGAGAAAGCTAATGCACAGTTTCTTCCACGCCTCCCTGTTCGGTTCATGCTCCTCCAATCTCGCCTTTGCTGCAGCGGCCATGTCATCCTTAATCCAAACAAATGAAGTGACGCCATTGTTAGAAACAAGTTTACTTTCAACTATAACAAATGAAGTGACGCCATTGTTAGAAACAAGTTTACTTTCAACTATAACATTGCAGCATACAACATTTGTGTCGGGTAAATAGTTTACCTGAATGAAACTGCCCCGATTGAGACGATCAACGAGGTTCAAGATTATGTCCTTGGTATACTCAGGGTGGCCTTGAATGCCCATGAAGTGGTCACCGTACCTAAACATTTCGATCCCGGTTTTGTTTGACCACGCCATGATCTCCGCCTTTGCTGGAAGCTCGCGAATCTGAATGCAATAACATCAACTTTAGACTTACATTGAAGATATACGAAGATAAGGTTTTCAAGATAGACAAACCTCGTCTTGGTGGACCTCAATGATGTTGAGGAAAGCTGGCATTTTTAGGGAGGTGAACACCTTGGACTTCTTCAAGTGCACGGTGGTGACTCCAATGTCCCATCCGCCAGTCGCTCGGCCCGTCTTTCCACCTATCGCCCGTCCCAATATCTAACACACAATTCATAAATCAAAATCTTAATAATTTTGTCATATACGTTTTCTTTTGTCCGTCTATAACATTTCATTTGGAATGGTAACAGATGTGTGATGAAGAATGGTATGTTTGTTAGTTGATTAACTATAGAAGTTGTAATCCCCGACAAGATTAGGTGCATGCCATCCACCCACAACATGGTATGTTTTCAGTTAATGTTAGTTTAAGGAATCTCTCTTGAAATACATAATCTATTATATTCCCTACTATATAAATAAAATTAAAATTTTAAAAAACAAAAATTACATATTATACTTTAAAAAGAATTTAAAAATTATTAATTTAAGTTTTTAATAAATTAAGGGAGTTGAGTCAGACCGACAATTTAAAAATGATACCTGATGACCGAAGCAAATGCCTAGAACTTTCTTTTTCATGGAGTTGAGCTTGTTGAGGAGATTGAGGAGGTTGCAGATCCAGGCGTCATTGCCGTGGGCGTCATTGCAGCTGCCGGTGATGACGAAGCCGTCGAACTCTCCGATCTCGTCGTCCTCCGGGAACTCGCCGCGAGCCACGCGGAACACCGCCCACGTCTCCCCTTCCTCCGCCAGCATTCTCAGGAAAACCCCGAAATACCCCCCGTACATCTTCTTCACGTACTCTGAGTCATCCGCGCACAGCAGAACTGCAAATTTCTTTCCAGTTGCTTCCATTTCTACCTCTCTCTCTCTCTCTGGTTGAATGTATAGTTTTCTCTCACTAAAAGCAAGAGAATTAAAGTAGTTTTTAGTTGTCTGATGTGAAGAACAACAAACGAGCCGTAGGTTTATATAGGGAGCCGGGGTTTCCCTGCACAAACGTTTTTGTTTTTAAAAGCAAAATTACATATTTCTCCTCTGACTATGACTTTGCCAGGGAAAATCTTTGCTTTCGCCTTACATAATTCTTTCCCACAATAAAATTAATTCCATATTTAATTAGGAACAAACAAAGTTAAACTATCAACTTATTTTATGATAATCAACCAGTTGTGTTGTGTCTCAAGAGCTCTACTATTTACTTATAATAGCTAAATTGTGTGTGACGTTTTAATAAAATGAAACATTTTTTCTTTCTTGACGTAAATCAATATGGAAAGAATTCCGTGTTCAATATGTTTGATATATGCTAACTTTTTAATAACTTTTATAAAAAGATTTATTAGTCTTTTATTGTCCATGCCATTTCTAAGTTTCAAGGGGTAATACTGTAATAGTCAAGATGGAAAAAGAAAAAAAAAAAAAAGTTTTTGAACATACCATTGGCATGCATAGTCAAATTGAAATCTTTGTTGAGAAGGTTCAATGAATCTAGACACTAGCTAGGGTTTAATTAAGGTAACGTTACTCTATATATGCACTTTTTGTCAGCTTCAAACTTTTGTGGGAAATTAAAGCCGAGTAGGTCAATAGGATTGACATTTCGCCATTTGCCTAATTCTATGACCAAAATTATTTATTTATTTATTAATTTTTCATTAACTCAAATTTCTCCATTTTGTTAGATACACTAAATTATACATTTTTAAGTGTAAAAAGTTCAATGCAAATTCTTATTGTTTTACTATATAAAAGTATTCTCATACACTAAATCAATCTTTTGTGAAGATCGATATAATCACGATTATTTGGATCATTACTTATGAGATAATTAGATTTCAATGCCTAAAAAAGATATATTTTAACAATTTAATAAATATATTTCTTTTCTATTTTTCTTTAAATTAAAAAAAAATCATTGACCCAAAATTTTCATAAATAAGTTAACAAATTTGAGGGTGATTCTGAATTCTAATTATGATCTAGTTGTGTTTCTTCAATTAAGACATGATCGATTTTGCACTACATTATTCTTAATTAAAAACATGTCTACTATATAAGATTTTATTATTAAAAGACTACCCGTATTCAAATATGGGAGAAGTTGAGATATATAATGATTTGTTTTATTTTTAGAGTATATTTTGAAAGAGTCATTATTAATCTTAGGAAAGTTTAAACTTTTCTTGGGAATTTAATATGTGAGAAATTTTTTCACTCTTGGTGTAATTTTTAACTTAAGAAAAGTTTAGGACTTAGGTGAATCACATTCCATTATATCAAGGAAAATAAATCTCATATATAGGGATTGAGATTTTTTTCTTAGCTTACTAAGAATTTGTCAACTTTATTCAATTATATATTTATCCTTTTATAGTGTCATACTTCTATATTAAAAATCTCTTATAAATATAAGAAATTTGCTATGATCTCCTACCATTACATATTCTTTACCAAAATAGTTAGATACATAGTTAAAGTTTTTCACTTTTCAATATGCAATTTGATTTGTAATTTGATTAGATTTGCAATGTTGCATATATTATATTTGTGTATGCCTTACGTGTATATATATTCCTCTATATATATATATATATATATATATATATATATATATATATATATATATTAGGTATGTGTAATATATAACAACGATATATTAGACATTTTAAAAAATGTCATGAAAAAGTTTAAACGAACCAATTATATTAATTAAATTCACAAGTAATTTAATTGTTATATTTTAAAATATGTTAATTATTTTTTCCAATAAAGTTATTCTCATCAAATATATTACTCAAAAATACTCCTCAAAAATTTAATTGATGAAAAAAGTACCAAACTATCTCGATTATCAAAATTTGTAACCGATAAAATAAAAGTTTGGTGGGAGTAATGGAATCCACCAACGCTCCCACCTTTTCGTCCTCCGAGTGCACACTAATTTTTGGAAATTTGATTGGAGAATATGTGGAAGTTTTCACGTGATCTGAGATTCTATTTGGTGCATGAGTCACTTGTAGGGATGAGAATTCTATCTGCACTTTATGAGTTTCCCGTATTTATGTTTTTACAAAATTTAAAATATTCGCACAATTTAAGTAATGTGTGTGGAAATATGAGAAAATTTTGTCGCATAGGTATGGATGCCGGTGCGGGAAGGTATTCTCGCCCATATATACATACATACATATATATATATATATATATATATATATATATATATATATATATATATCAGTATTCATTTCTTATATAAGTTTATGTATTTTTTTATAATTAAAAATGCATAATGAATTAGATTTCTTTATGGGCTAGTGCTTCATGAATTCAATTGAATTATCATCTCATTGCTTTGTTTTTTATTTATGAAAATTGACAAGGAACAACACAAATAATATAATGAGAAAACACTTAATTCAATTAATAATACCAACACAATTTTAGTTGGAAAATTCTATTTGCACCACCCAATTTGCTATTTACACCACCACTTTAATATGTGTAATAACTTTATAGGTAGTGCAAATAGAAAAGTGTTATTTGCACCACCATCATTAAATGTGGTCAAATATTAATATATGTTATTCATTTTTTTAACAATCAAAATATTAATTAAAAAAAAAATTCTCATCACCTTCTCTAGTGAGAAGGTCTGGGTCGAGAAGGCAGTCCAGTTGCAAAATAAAAAAAAAATAATAAAAAAAAGAATTTCCCATCACCTGGCCTTCTCCGGTGAGAAGGCAAGGGGCTGCCTCCTCACCAGAGAATGCAACTGGGCTGCTTTCTCCGGTGAGAACATCTTCTCACCGGAGAAGGCGACCCAGAAAACTTTCTACTGAGTTAATTACCTTCTTCGGTGAGAAGGCACCCCACTTGGTGGGTTGGCTTCTCACCGGGGAAGGTAATCCAGTGGAAAGCAAATTGGGTCGCCTTCTCTAGTGAGAAGGCAGCTCCTCGCCTTCTCACCGGAGAAGGTGACGGGTTCATCTTCATTTTTTTTTATTTTTTATTTAATGTTTTTATTAATTAAATTTTAAATTAAAAAATTATTAATTACACCTTATTAATTACACCTTATAAAAGTATTTTCATATACTAAATCAATCTTTTGAAGATCGATATAATCACGATTATTTAGATCATTACTTATGAGATAATAAGATTTCAATGCCTAAAAAAGATATATTTTAACAATTTAATAAATATATTTCTTTTCTATTTTTCTTTAAATTAAAAAAAAATCATTGGCCCAAAATTTTCATAAATAAGTTAACAAATTTGAGGGTGATTCTGAATTCTAATTATGATCTAGTTGTGTTTCTTCAATTAAGACAGGATCGATTTTGCACTACATTATTCTTAATTAAAAACATGTCTACTATATAAGATTTTATTATTAAAAGACTACCCGTATTCAAATATGGGAGAAGTTGAGATATATAATGATTTATTTTATTTTTAGAGTATATTTTGAAAGAGTCATTATTAATCTTAGGAAAGTTTGAACTTTTCTTGGGAATTTAATAGGTGAGAAATTTTTTCACTTTTGGTGTAATTTTTGACTTAAGGAAAGTTTAGGACTTAGGTGAATCACATTCCATTATATCAAGGAAAATAAATCTCATATAAAGGAATTGAGATTTTTTTCCTAGCTTACTAAGAATCTGTCAACTTTATTCAATTATATATTTATCCTTTTATAGTGTCATACTTCTATGTTAAAAATCTCATATCTATCTACTATACTAATAAGAGCCCAAGAGAGTTAGGCCTATAATGGGTAGAAAAAATGGCGGTCACAGATTTTAATCAAATGAATGGCTCAGATTGATTAAAAGATTGATAAGATTTAAATTTTACACAAAAATTTCCTAAAATACCCACACACCGTTACTAATTCCGTTAAAATTTTAAGAATTGCCGTTAGTTCACCGTTAACTTACTCATTGATTTCAATAAAAAAAAAAAGTCTTAGGTTCGAACCTCATCCCAATCAAAGTTGGCATAATTAGTACTCTATTTTACTCTTATTAAATTATATAAATAATAATTTAGTAGCTACAACAAAAAATTATAGATATGCATTTCTTTAATTTAGAATTATGTGTCCACAATGTCTTTATTCAAAAAAAAAAAATTATTCATTATCAATAAATTAAATAAGAGAAATAATTGTATTAGTTATATTGTCTTTATTTTTCTACAATATAAAAATTCTTTATATTCAAATTTATTAATTGATTATATTCGCTACATTGTCTTTACAATGTCTTAATTCAGTGAAAAAAAATTATTCATTATCAATAAATTAATTAAGAGAAATATTTTCATTAGTTATATTGTCTTTATTTTTCTCAAATGTAAAAATTTTTACATTCAAATTCATCAATTGATTATATTCACTACATTGTCTATTATCTTTTTTTGTGCACTATTTATCTTTTTTTGTGCACTATTTTTCTAATTAAATATCAAAGTTATAATACAAAATAATGCTATATATTTATTTATCAAGTATTTTATTAATACCATGAAAAAATTAAAAAAATATATAATTAATTAAAGCCAACCATATTAACTACTTGAGAGATTTTGTGACAAAGAGAGTATTCAAATCACACAACAAATTGACAAATTGATAGTTAGCAGATTATAACGATTTTTTTTTTTTGAATGCTACTAGCTCTATTACATTGTAGTATCTGTTCATATACGCCTCCATTGAGGCTTGAACTTACAACCTTCCAAATGAAAGTTCAACCCGGATACCATTAGACCACATAGTCCAACGAATTTATTTAATTATTAACATTGGGTAGAAAAAATGACCGTCAAATTATTAAATCAAATGAATGGTTCAAATTGTTCAGGTTTTAATTTTTTTTAATGTTTTTCTAATTTATCCTTAATTATATGATTATCC